ACTGCTACTTTTCTTTACTGTGTTCTCATGAATAACAACTTTTTCTACCTGTAGGATGACCCAGATCATGTAGTGCAGTTATGCCTGGAAACCTTGATTAATGGTCACTCAGTGCTGGTATTCTGTGCTACTAAGCAGTGGTGTGAGAAACTTTCACAGCATATTGCAAAAGTGTTCAGGACCATTGGTAAGTTCTATAACAATGCCCAAATACACAGTGACATTTAGAATTTCCATGCACTAATAATATTTTGTTAAATGAGAACACATTCTGAATAAATTTCTGGGATACTGTATATGATCAGTACTTCATCACATATTCCTTAAAGTGAAGTTCATCATGTTTTGTAACATGAATGGTTTCATTGCAGTCTAATTGAAGATTCATTTTGTGATATCAGGTTTATCAGGGAGTGAATTAGGTCAGCAGCTTCGTGAACAATTGGACTCAAATGCTATAGCTGAGGCTTTGGAACAATTGCATACATGCCCAGTTGGACTGGATAAAGTACTTAGGTGCACTGTGGCATTTGGTGTAGCATTTCATCATGCAGGTAAGTTTTGTGTACTAGAGTATGGCTTATCAGCCATCCAAGTATACAAACTAGTTTCTAGACATAGTCTTAACCACCAAGCATAAGCATGTGATGAATCATGTAGGAATTTGAGAGGAAATTTAATGAAAATTCATTCAAATCTAAAACTTCTTGACGATGGTGAAGAGTCAATTGAATAAAAATTTTCTTTGATATTATCCATCGTCTAGTAAATATAAAACGTAAAACGACGTTTCGGAGATGGGACTCTATCTCCGTCTTCAGGTTCCTACACAGTTGGGCCCACTAGATAGAGCTAATCCCTATCTCTGAACCAAGGGATAGGGATTAGCTCTATCTGGTGGGCCCAACTGTGTAGGAACCTGAAGACGGAGATAGAGTCCCATCTCCGAAACGTCGTTTTACGTTTTATATTTACTAGACGATGGATAATATCCAAGAAAATTTTTATTCAATTGAAAATTAATTCAGCTGTTCTTGAGTTGTTACATGCAGACAGCTGGACATATAGGTAGGATGAAGCTAATAATCACAGTTTTATCACTTTCAATTTCAAATATGTCTAAGAACCTCATTGCTGGTAGTAAATATGGTCTGATATTTGAACCCAAGACCACCAACAGAATGCAGATGGAGATGTTCTGTTGGGAAGTGTGGCAGAGAAAAATTGTGCAGAATCTTTCAGCATGGGAAGTGTAGGAGGCCAATTTGTTGATGCTGCTGAGGTTTAAAGTTTATTTTAATAACTTGTAATTGGTTTTAAACAATATGTGACTGTTTATATCATAATATTTCAACAGGTTTGACACTTGATGAGCGTGACATTCTGGAGGGTTATTTTCGTTCAGGAGCTCTGAGAGTGCTGGTAGCTACTTCAACTTTAAGTTCAGGCGTTAACCTTCCTGCTCGCCGTGTCATTGTACGTTCACCTGTATTCCATGGGAAATCTCTGGATTCTCAAACATACAGGCAAATGATCGGTCGTGCAGGCCGTATGGGTCGAGATACTGCAGGCGAGAGCTTTCTTATTTGTAACAAAGGAGAGAGACATATGGGAGAAAAACTGGTTGGGGCAGAATTGAAACCAATTGAGAGTTGCCTTGGGCATGGTGAACTGGCAGCCAGCCTAAAGAGGGCTATATTAGAGGTACATATTATCAGATTACAGATAACTTTCCATTACTTTCAGGTTTCTTCATCACTGTTCATGTAATTCCTTTTTTAAAGTTACTTCATGCTTGGGATAAGGCAAAGCTACCACTCTGAAGCATGTATTTAATCATAAACTATGATGGATAATGCTAGAAAATCAAAATAAATAGTATGTGAAAATTATACAACAGTAATGGTACATGTATAACAGCACATTTTTGTAAGTCGTCATCAACTTCATTCATGCATGCTCAAATTATTGGGTTCAAACAGCTCTAAAATAATAGAGCATAACAAAAGACAGACAGACCATATTCAGTAACAGAAATCTTACGTTATCTTTATTGTTAATGAAACTTTAATTTTGCATTGTGCTAACACTGTTTTGAGTGATCCTACTAATGACACAGTTAAATATAACCCATAAACAAAGTGACAGTTGTAATTTGCAAGGTAAAAAAGTTTTATTTCCACTGTGGCAACATTACAGTCGTATAACTCCAATTATTCAGATACAAGAGGCAACCTACTCAGGTTAGCATTACTTACCGTGTTCCAGGTGATTGCAAGTGGTGTGGCATGCACTCCCCAGCAGGTGACTCAGTACACAAATTGCACACTACTTGCTGCAACAAAATCTGATCTACGAAACCCTATATCAGCCTGCGTTAAGTTCCTAGAGGCCAATGAGCTTATTCGGCTTCAGGAAGAGGAAGAGAGAGTAGGGCACAAGTATGTGCCTACACCCTTAGGTCTTGCCTGTCTTGCTGCATCTCTTCCTCCAGATGAGGGTCTTCTTCTTTTTGATGAGCTACAGAGGGCTCGTCAGTGTTTGGTGCTGGACACTGAGCTTCATATAATATATGAGGTATTATATTCATTACAGATGTGAGAATTTACACAAATCTAATATAATTTATCAGAGTATTTATATAATATTAAAATGGATCCTACTAGGCTCTGAAGATGTGCTCTGGTTCAGCAAATGGCCCAGTGATGAACCCTCACTATCTGGAGGCTTTATTCTTTTATAAATGGTGGACTATACCATACTGTGGTGACAAGGGATGTATCTAACCTAACCCAGACTAGCATACTTAACTTGGAAATAAATGGTATAAGAATCAAATGATGGAAGCTGACACAGAAAAATTATGATCTATACCCTCCATTTCCAGTAATGTAACATCACTCTCCTTCTTCTGGGATGGGCTAATAATCAAAAATCAAGTGTTGTAATTTGTGTAGAACACGCACAATGTAAACTATTTTTCCATGTACTGTTCTAGGTAACACCATACAGTGTTTGCTCTCAATGGGGAAACTTGGACTGGTTACACGTGAGTCATATTTGTTTATTTGCATGATAATGAGGGTTAGATAATTGAACAGATAAATCAGAAGACATGTGAATAATCCATTATGATGCTAAGAGTTGTTCTATTTGCTTTAAAAATTTCCCCCCCCCCCCCCCCCCCTTCAAATTAAGGCTAATACAATTTAACTATAACAATGATAGCACATTTTCATCATTATTCTGAAACTACCAGGAGATTAGCTGTTTTTTAATGCCTTTCAACCTTAGGGCAATGTCTGATTTCTTGTTTATTTGGTCTGTACTTTGTCCTTAATCTGGGGAGTCTGCATTTGTGAATTCTATCAGTGTGGTGCATCCATTTGTTTCTGTAGTCCAAACTTCTGGATAATGCCACTTAGGGTTTAGAACATCCAGAATTTCTGGATTTGTCTTTCCCCTTCACTGTCCACATTTTACTACCACTGAGGAACATTTGGAAACCCAGGGTAGTCAGTCTCTGGTCCAAGATTTTAGTCTGTGCCTTCCCAGATATGAAGCGTGAGTGCTAGCAACTGGACTGTGACATCTGGTCAAGAGGATGAAATACTGTAGAGACTGAGGAGTTGAATGCATTCAAATGTAATTCTTTAAATATATCATAATTTGATTATCAGTGTTTCAATGCTCCAATAATTATCTATGTATGACTTACAATGATGAAGTCAGGGATTATGTTAATAAAGTACCTTGTTTGCAGGTATTAAATCTATGGGAACAACTATCACCAGCTATGCGAAGGGTTGGAGAGTTAGTGGGAATTGA